TGATCTTAAGGAGCTCACAATCAGGTAGGAGAAAGAGTTTTGTAATTTGTCTGATATCAGATTTGACAATCTGACAAATGCTTTAACAAAGGGGGAAAAAATGGGAGTCACTCAACTTTTCCCAGAGAAAGCTTCATGGAACAGATGACCTGACATGAAGGATGAGTAGGAAGCATCTGGGATCTTATGTCACAGGCCATACTTCCCAAACAAGAAGCCATTCATTTTGACAGTCAAGAAAAAGCTACGGAGTGTCAATTATGTTCCATGTGTTGTGCTATGTCACATTACAACTTTTCATTTCTTCCTTTGGTATTACTGGTGCCCATCGATCCCCCCCCCACCCAAATCCTCAAGAATTCTGCATTTCCACCTATCCCAATTTAGCAATTGCTGCCCTAATCAATCTTAGTAAGGCCACTACCCAAGGGGTAAACAAAAATTTCAGTTGTCTGTTGACACAGACTGTATCTAACCCTGCCTAGGTCATAAAATGAGGGTGGTAATTCTGGCAGAGTAGTCAACAATGAACTGACTATGGGTATACATCTGCTGTTAGATATGTGTTGATATCTTGAAAAGCTATTTTAGTTCATGAAAAAATCTGGGTTCTCTTCCACACTACCCAACTCATGCCAGTTGTAAGTGCTCAAAATACTTATTGAGCATTTATAATGTGCTTTACCAATGGTTCTCAACCCCAGCTGCATACTGACATCAGAGCTCCTGGGCCAGATATCCATATTTTGGGGGTCAATTCTAATAAGTTTGAAGCCCAGGCCTTTAGGCATTACAGAATGCAAAAGAAATGTAAGACACAGTACCTGTCTTCAAGAATTTACCCACAGTCACAACAAAATAACTTGGAATAGGATATTAGTCTACTAATTTGTAATCCTTTTGCAATATATTTTATTTACTTTTTTTCTAAGAGATGGGGTCTTGCGCTGTTGTGCAGGCCAGAGTGCAGTGGTGTCGTCATAGCTCACTGCAACCTCAAACCCCTGGGCTCGAGCGATGTTCCCGCCTTAGCCTCTTGAGTAGCTGGGACTATAGGCACTAACCAGGCCACTAATGCCCGGCTTCTGTTTGTAATATTATCAGTGCTTATGAAATAGAAGAAATTGGGTAGTCTAGATAAGAATTGTTCCTAATTCCTAGTCCAATCACTGATTCTACCTGCAACTGCTGACACACTGTTTCACACCCCTTGTATCTCCCAGACAGTGAAGGTACACCATTTTCAGGAACTATGGAGCCACCTAAGTAGGAAAATGAATTGAAGCCCTCAAATCAGGTGGCTACGTGGTTTCTTGAAGGACAGAATTCTTCAAATCCATGCTGTGATGGGGCTTCTTCTAAAGAGAAAAAATAATTCTTCATCCTCCAACAATACCAATCTACCTTAATTCTATAGTAGAGGTGTCCGAGAAAAGCTAAGTTAGCCTATGTTTTTTTTGGTTTTTTTTTGAGACAGAGTCTCACTCTTTTTTGCCCGGGCTAGAGTGCCGTGGCGTCCTAGCTCACAGCAACCTCAAACTCCTGGGCTCAAGCAATCCTTCTGCCTCAGCCTCCAGAGTAGCTGGGACTACAGGCATGCGCCACCATGCCTGGCTAATTTTTTCTGTATATTTTTAGTTGTCCAATTAATTTTTTTCTATTTTTGGTAGAGACGGGGTCTCGCTCTTGCTCAGGCTGGTCTCGAACTCCTGAGCTCAAACAATCCACCCGCCTCGGCCTCCCAGAGAGCTAGGATTACAGGCATGAGCCACCGCGCCCGGCCTAGTTAGCCTAAGTTTTAAAAAATATACTCATAGAGGACTTTGGCCATTTAAAGAAACCACCCAAATTCACATGGTTGGTAAATACAAGTTTCTCATATAGCATACACATAAAATAGAAATACTCTAAATTAAATATATTTTAGTAAACTCCTTACACCAAGATGTGCAAATTGTGGAAGCTTCATAAATTAAAAATAAAAATTTGACCCAAATTCCATCCAACAGTTATTACTTCATACTAAAGACCACCGTGAAGGGAAAAATCTGCTTTAAAATTCTGCAAACATGAATCTACAGATTCTCACCTGATTAGTCTTTCTCTGAATTATATAGAAAAAGGTACAATTCTCTTAAATGCTACACCAAAATTGATGAGCTAAGACCCTACAAATTACCATTTAAAAAAGAAGTGGATGGTGTCATTCTACATCTAAAATGGAGAGCAGTGAAGGTATAAAAAGATAAATTTTGGTACTTAAGGGAAAATGCATATCAGGCATATTTTCATTAGAGTAAAAGTTTAACAGGACAGAAACAAACAAAAAAAAGCATCTTCTATGTAATACTGTTTTTAGGACTCATGACTTTGAAATTAACTTGATTATACAATATTTTTCCTTGTAATTATTCTTGTCATCACATAATTTTACCCAAAGGTCCACAATCCCTTCACTTCAATTCCAAAATCCAAAAGGCTGTGAAAAACAAGTTTTTTGTTATTCACTTGGTAGCAAAACCAGACAAGAAATGGCAGGAGGTTATTGATAGTACAGTATTTATTTATCCCAGTTAGTGTGAACATTGAGTTTACTACAGAAATAGTAATGCATTTGATTAAAAGGTGCTGTCCCAGACCTCTCTGGGGTATTACATAATATGTAGTACATATACCACATTTCTTTTCTAAAATCCAAACAGCCAAAAATGTCTAAACTCAGAAACACAATGCCCCAAGAACTTTTTTTGGCTCCCAAAGATTTTGAATATGGTACCATGGACTGGTATAGTAATTAAGACTAAATCTTATACAGAAAATATAACTAATACTGCAAATGAATGTAGATTTTCACATGCAATAAATTCAATGTCTTAACAACTATCACATATACATAATCCTGGAAAATAAAGCATTAAAAATACTTTTAACAAATGTCAAAAACCAAAAACACCATTAAGTGTTTTTCAAGTGATGGTGACATCTGCATCCTCCAATATCTAAATCAATCCTTAGGTTGAAATTCACTAATTTAAATCACAGTTAAAATATAGCCAAAGACTGAATGGTAATTATGTTGAGAAAAGAATCATTCACTGATAAGTAACTTACTTACAGAAATGTTCTGATTTTCATAATAAATTATCTCAGAGGGTTTAAGATTTAAAATTATTTCATTCTAGAAGAAAATGTTGAACAAATTACAATTGACTTTTTCTGTGAAAGCAGAGCCTTGGACATGGATAGAGACAGAACAGCCCTTACAGATATTTGAACAGGAAGAAGAGTTTCACAGTTCTCTCCTTCCTTCCTCCTTTAGTTGCTGCTTTTCTGGTTTTAGAATTTCAAACAAAGAAATACATATTGGCTCCAGTGCTAAGAAACGCCCTCTTTCTCAGCAACTTCCTTTTCCAATTTTCTTCCTTACCATAGCCACATGAGAACAATACTCAAGGATGGTCTCACTATTTTGATTAACCAAAAGCTCTGAGGTTTGGAAAAATTAGGGGCTGCAATTTTTAGTATCTAACTACTGCCTACCCCAAATCCACAATCTTCACTCATCTGGAAGTAGATAACAGGCAGCAACAAAGAGAGGGATATTAAGCTTCATCAGAGGTGGGCTATTGAACCTTTCACCCCAAGGAATCCAAAGAAATTTGAACAAACAAATTTCTTCCATCCCAAGAAAATGTGGCCTTCTTAGGGAGAAGAAAAAGCTGGCACCACCTTGAACCAAAAGTCAATACACAAATAGCTGGTGAAATTTCTCCTATAGGCCAATGGACCAGGATTCAAATGATGCTGAGGTTCTGACAGACTTCAAAGTGACTTTTACCAACTTAGAAATGGCCCTTTCCAACTCACAGACTGAACAAAGGGGATGAACTTATAATTAACCATCCAGAGATCAAGACTGTCTCCTTGCCAGAAGTCAAATCAAATGTCTGGGGTCAGGCCCCTTCCCCCGTTTGTGACAAAGCAAACTTCCCTACTTTTAAGTGAGCAGTGACTTTCCTTCTTGCTCAGTAATTCTCAAAGGAAACAACTTAGTGTTGGTAAGCTCTGCACTTTACTGTGTGACCTTGGGCAAGTTACTTAACTCCTCTGAAACTTAGCTTCCTTATGTGTAAATTCTCAAGGGTGGCTGTAAAAATTAAATAAGAACATATACCTAAGCAAGGTTTGGCACATAGTAATAAGAGTGTCACAAATGTTCTTCTCCCTCTTCCTCCTAAACCTTCTGACTCTGGGCCTAAATTCCAATCAAAGCCCCAGGAGGCACCAAGGAGTCCTTCCTCTTCTCTGACTCCACGGACAACCGTACAAAAACTTCCTCATCTCAGAGGCTCCAGGATTCCTGGGGTGTTATATGCAGACCCCACCTCACCCCATCATGGTTTGGGTAGCGCCCATAGCCTTCACGGGAGAGCCCCTTTAGCCAACTCTCCTTGTTCTGCAGGCCATCTTGTACATATACACAGTCAGTGGCCTCCCTGCCGCTCCGCAACTTAGCAGGCCAAGAGCCTCAACCAGCACCGCAATTACTTCACGGTCCAGAGAAGGAAACTGAGGCTCAGGCTGGGGAAGAACTTGCCCAAGACATCAGACAATAGCTGAGACCCACTCATGTACAACTACCGACAAAGGCTTCGTTTTACCAACAGGGAAACTAAGGCCCAGAGAGGGAAGTGACTTGCCCAAGATCACACGGCGAGTGGGTGGCAGAGCCAGGTCAGGTTGGGACACTTTCACTGCCTCACAGACTTGCGGGCCCCTCCAAGTCTCCAAGGGGGACTCCAGGTCACCCCCTCGAGGGGGTGGGGTGGACTAAGACGCCACCCCGCGCTGACCGCTCGCCTAGCCTCTGCCGGTCCACAGCAGGAGGCGCGGGACCCACTCCCTCCGGACCCTACGCGGTTCGGGAGGGTCGGCCCGGCTGGGGCCCCCCCGCCCCGCGCCTCACGGCGGGGGTCTGCCCAAGCGGACTTGTTGCTCACCTGGCCTCCCGCAGTCGCCCTCAGCGACAGGAAGGGTCGGCCGCCCGCCCAGTCTCTGCACGGGGTCTGTTCCCGCGGACCGCCTCGCGGGCTGCCTCACGGCCGGACCCCCCTCAGCGCGCTACGCCCCCAGCCGCGCTCGCACGGCCTGTGTCCGCCATTACGCGATTCCCCGCCCTGGGACGCAGCCACACCCCGCCAACGGCCCTGATTGGTTCCCTGCCCCACCCGCCTGGGGCTTCCGGGCATTCCATTGGCCTGAGTGCAATGCCAGTTAAATAACTACGCAAAAGACGTACTCAAGGGTACTGTCCCAGGAGCTCCACCCGGGCGACTTCCGCAATAGGAGTAAACAGCGGGGGGGCAAACCAAGTGAAGTGGAGGTGGAGATTAAAATAAATCAACAGCTAAATTGAGAGTAGGAAAATCCCATCTAAGAAAGTGAAAAACTTGTATAAAGTGTGTTGAAAGCCGAATTCTTTTTGTTAGAGTTCAAAGAACCAGTATTTTTGGTGGAAGGAAGGGGACAAGGCCACAAACTTTCTGTAGACACCCCTCAAGTTGCAGATACTGTTGTCCCTTCACTCGGGTCTCAGCCCAGGCGGAAAGTAGGGTGGGGAGAGTGAGTCATCCGGTCCAGCCCGCCCTAAAGGATCCATCCGGGGCGAGGCTTGAGTCCTGGCACGGGGAACTAGTTCTGAAAGGCCATGGTTAAGTGAGCTGGACCCTGGTTCAACTGCCACCTCACTCAGCGACCTCAGACAACTCCCTGAACCTGTCTGGGTCTTAGTTTAAACTTCTGCAAAATAGGAGCAGTCATATCTGCCTCACGTCCTGGGGCGGTTTGTTGAGGATTCATGTATGAATGGGCATAGGCCCCGCTTCTTGGTTATAAAAGGCTGCATCTGGTTAACAGTGTGACAAATTCACAAGTTGGCAAAGAAATCTCATTTGGTTCTCTAGAGCAACCCTGTCAGGCAGGTATTATCTTCATTTTGCAGAAGAGAAAACAGAGTCTCCGTGATGTTGCATGACCTACCCAGGGTCACCCGGGGGATTTGAAACAACCCTGGGACTCAAACCTGTATCTTTTGGCTTCCATTTCTGTATTTCTCCCTTCCAGGCCTTGTGTCATCCGAGAAAGACTTCCATCCCTCATCCTCTTAGCATTCCAGGGAAAGTCTTAAGGGTACCAGGCCAGTCCCCAATCTCTCTAGTCAGCATAGACTCGGGCATAGGCCCTCCCCCAGTTATTGTTAATCGCCAAGGTTCCCAAGTGAAAGTGACCCTAGGGGTGTGGCCAAGCTGGTTTTTGGGGATTCTAGGAATCAGGAAGTAAGGAATGACAGGCGGATCAGGAACGTAAACAGAATCCCAAATGAAGACGCAGAAGCTCCAAGAACGGCAGTGATGCCACTGTGGACCCTCAGCAGGGCCGCCTCCATGCCAGGACTTAAATCCAGGTTTCTCTGCTCTCAGAACAGGGCTCTTTTCAGCATAGGATTGTTTTTCCCAGAAGGGCTGCCTTGGCTGTAATTCCTAGTCCTTTTCCCTCCCTGGAAGGGAAGGAGGCCAAGAAGAGAGTGGGAGGGAAAGCAGCCTAAGACTCTAGAATGGCAGAGACCGCCAACAGGGTGGTGCTAACAGGGCCCCAGTGCCATCCAATTTGGTGTCCTTTAGGCTCAAATCCGGACATGTGGTGTGACAACCAATAACTATTTAAATCCTGGCTATGGCTTTTGGGTGCTGGGAGGCAGCTGTGCAGAAGGCAGTGGCTTTGGGGTCAGACCAACCTGAGTTTAAATCCAAGCTCCACTACTTTCTAACTCTCTGAGCCTCCCTTACCTCTTCTCTAAAATGGTGACAATGGGGCAGTTGTGAGGATTCAGTGAGTTAATTGCGGCATCAATGAGTCATGTGTTTAAAGTGCCTGGTAGCTATTTATTCGTTCATGGATTCATCCATTCAATAAAAAATTATTAAGCCCTGACCATGTGGAGGGCAGCCTGCCAGTGGCACAGCTACAAAGGTAAGCAAAACAGATTCAAACCTTCATGGAGCTTAGAGTCTCGTGAAGAAGAAAGTCGTTAACCAAATGATCAGACAAATCAAAATGCACTTAGAAACTGAGATAAGGAACAAGAAGGCAAAGTACAGTGTGTTTATGAGAATGGATATCAAAGGAGGGGGTGGGGTCAAAGGAGGCTTCCACTCATGAATGGGCAGGAGACTGGAAGGAGTGTTGCAGGCCAAGGGAAGGTGTGTGGAAGGTATGTAGGCTGATGGGGTTGTGGCAGTAGGGAGGGCAGAGCACCCAGGGCCTGTGGGCCACCATGGAGAGTACCATGGTTATTGCCGAATGAGTGAGGGTATTACAGGGGTGGAAACCTGGTTTTGAAAGTGGGGTGCGGTGGCTCACACCTATAATCCTAGCACTCTGGGAGGCCGAGGCCGGCGGATGGCTCAAGGTCAGGAGTTTGAGTGAGACCAGCCTGAGCAAGAGCGAGACCCCGTCTCTACTAAAAATAGAAAGAAATGATCTGGACAACTAAAAATATATATATAGAAAAAATTAGCCAGGCATGGTGGCGTGTGCCTGTAGTCCCAGCTACTCGGGAGGCTGAGGCAGGAGGGTTGCTTGAGCCCAGGAGTTTGAGGTTGCTTTGAG